GAGTAGGTGTTGTTTGAGTGAAACCCTAAATTTGATGGTTTGCACCCTATTTAAACACTTTATCTTAGCCTCCATCATCCCTATCACTCCCAGAGAGCTGTATATCGAAACCCTAGCCGTTTTTGTATGTTTTAAGGCCATTTTGGTGCATTTGGAGGTTGGTGAAGCTTGAGAGTTCGAGTTGAGGCTTGGAGATCCAGAGGTTTTGGTCCATATCCAGCTCAATCAAGGTAAAATGCCCCTGTTTTGTTTCTTCCATGTATTTTTCATCTTTAGAAGCTTGGACTTTTGGGTACATTTAGGGCTTTTCCAAGCCATTTTCGATTTGTGAGGTGTACATGGAATCTTGACTTTAGATCTGAGTCATTGGAGGAGTCTCATGGCATAAAGGTGCCAACTTTAAGGCCATGAGAGCCCCATGCATCTTGTAGAACACCTTTTATGGCTTTTTGAGCCAAAGACCCCATGCATGTGCACCAAGTTTGGAGCTTTACGTGTAAAATGGACATTAGAAGGCCAGATCTATGGTTTTGAGGTGTTGAGACCCTTTTAAATCGACTGTATAGTGATGACCAAGGTTGGACTCGACGAGTCGTTCTTGGGACTAAGCGAGCCGGGGTGTATTGACCACCAAATCCCTTCTGTGGATGGACCAGTTGTTAGGATGGGAAGTACCTTAGTTGTTTAGGCGTGTAAAGGGACCTGGGAATCATAGGACTCGGCGAGTGTATGAACAGACTCGGCGAGTCCAAGGCAATCTCCCAATCTTTGAAGATGGACTCGACGAGTTGTTCATACAACTCGGCGAGTCATAGACTGGACACATTCATATGAGGGAGATGAACTCGACGAGTTCAAGGATGAACTCGGCGAGTCGGATGAAGATGGTCCCGATGGTTTGAATGAAGGAGAACCCGTCGAGTTCTTGCTAGACTCGACGACTAGAGTCGGGGTTAGATCGGGTTAGTGGAGTATGGACTCGACGAGTTGGTAGACTAACTCGGCGAGTCAGGTCAACTGGGTGTTGACTTTGACCAATGTTGACCTTTCCTGGTTTTGGTATTGACCCTGGTTAGGGTTGTATGTTCGGTTTGATGACTTGAAGGTTATCGTGTAGGGATTGAGGAGTCGGGGAGAGCCGAACTTCACGAAGAGGACAGTTCAGACGCTACACGACATCAAGGTGAGTTACCTTCCGGTAGTGGTGGGTTTACGGCCACAATGTCGGCCCACCAGTAGGAGTTGTATGATAGATTATTATCTTTGTGATACTTATCTGGTGTGTTGCTATCTGATATACTTTATGTGCTAGGATGCTATGATATATGTGTTAGTAGTGATAGGGGTGATATGACCCCTAGTTACCGGTTGAAAGATACCGAAGGGGGCAGATAGTACCCATGCATGCCTAGTAGTATGAATATGATATGTTATTATGTGATAGTGGTAGGGGTGAAATAGCCCCCGGTTACCGGTTGAAAGATACCGAAGGCAGTACCGGTTGAAAGATACCGAAGGGGAGGTTAGTTCCCGGTTACCGGTTGAAAGATACCGAAGGGGAGGTTAGTTCCCGGTTACCGGTTGAAAGATACCGAAGGGGAGGTTAACTCCCGGTTACCGGTTGAAAGATACCGAAGGGGAGGTTAGCTCCCGGTTATGCTAGACAGGTACCGGTTGAAAGATACCGAGGGATAGGCATTACTTGGTATGTGGTATGATGGGGGAACTCACTAAGCTTTGTGCTTACGGTTTACAGTTTTGGTTTCAGGTACCTCTTCAGCGAAGGGGAAAGAGTCGGCGCGGTAGCAGCACATCACACACACACTGGATTCAGCACTATGAAACTCCTGGGATTGTACTCTGATTTTCATTACTTTTGGTGATTTGGTTTTGAGATACGATATTATGGTTTTGTGGATTGATGTAACAATGGCGATGTTTTGGTTAACTATTTTATGAATTACTTAATTAAAATAAATTTTTGGCCTTGAAAATTGGGACGTTACAATAAATTTATCATCACAATGTGTTTTTTAACACAGGTTTCATATATTTTAAAGTCTCATTGAATTTCCTGGGTTGAAAACTTCACACCTAAATATCAAAATTTCTAGCCCCGTACTTCAGTGTTACTTTTTCAAAATCACCAAGGTTATGCAAGGTTTCGATAATACAAGTGTCATAATGATCCGTTAAAGCTTTTAGAAAAGTCATGTGGAATTTCTAGCCCCATACTATCTATGTTAAGTCTTTTATGTTAAAGGGTAAAAACGAAGTGAGTTATTGTGTTGGATTAGTTAAAGTAATAAAGTTCCAAATTGAAAACTTATGGAATGAAAACATCTAGCTAATGATTGATGGAATAAAGTTCATATTTGGTAATATAAGAATGAAGTTGCTAATAACTTGAAGTGTTAGAAGGTATGGACCAAGAAGAGTGGTGTATATCAATTAATAAATCTTGTCAATAGCTATATTATTTAACAAAAACTTATAATTATGAGATGTGATAGAAATAAAATTAGAGATACATGAAAAGAGTAATGAATTTTGCATGACGATTTGGGAAAAGGGTATTGGCATGGTACATAATAGAGGATAGATAAGGAATGAAGATGGAGAACAAACCATACATGTGAGGATATGTATAGGATTCTTAGAAGATGAATTTTTCATTGGACTTTGACCCATCATATGTATCAAATTTTGTAAAACAATGTGAATTAGGATTGATGAAATAAATCTGAAAAGAATTTGGTATGATGAAATTAATGTTTAAGGATATAAATTACCCAACCAGTATGATGAAATAATTTCTAATATTTTATGCTTTGTAAAACATGATATGTGACTAGTAATGGGAGTGGATGAAAAGAAAAAAATTATTAAAAAAATAATAAAGTAACAATAACTTTGAAATGAACACGAACAAGAAACCAATAGAAAAATGATAAAATGGAGAGAATCTTCAAGATATTAATCATGTACAAATGAAGGGGGAAATTTAAGGAAGGAAATACAATAGTGTTTTTAATAAAGTTATTGATATTTAAAAAGGAAATTAAATTTCATGAAGAAAAAAGAAACAATTAGGGAATTAATAATAACCATGTAAACTTAATGTGTGAAAAGTGGGAATGAAAAGTTTACTAAAGTCACAATAGTAAGGAGTGATAATATGATTTTAGTATAAGTATGAGTATTTTGATGATAAGGTGGAGGATAATTTGCATTGTCATATAAAGATTTGAGAGAATTAAAATGGAATAGGTCCTTCAAGTAAAGATTTATGCAGACAAATAGTATATACATTTAAGGCTCATTTCATGGTGAAAATTTTCCAAAGTGTAGATTTTAAAGAAATTTTCCCTCTCCAGGTAGAAAGCATTAAAGCTAAATGGACGTCTTTTGCTATAGTTGTATAATTAGATTATCATACATGACAAATGGATTTCTAAACACATTTATGAATGGTCACATGAACGATGACATAGATATGATGCACCAAAATGTGTTTTCAAGTCGTAGGTCTCCTAATAGAATGTATAAGCTTTATATGTTCGTTAAAGCAAACTTCTAAGAACATAAGTCTTTTTTTTTATTGAGGAGATTAAAAGAGTTTGATCTTGCTCATACCCAAGAAAAGTTCTATGTTTTCATTAAAACTAATAGGAGCATTATTACCATTCCCATCTTGTATGTTATTGGTATATTGATCATAATAAATGATTCGCAACCTTGCATAGTGTTAGTCTTGCCTTGGAAATCCCTTACTGCAAAAGATCCATGAAATACAATATAAAAATCAAGATCTATATGGATAGATCATCGTGACGAAATTGGTCTCATTCAAAGTATAAATATTGACAAAATCCTGAAATGGTTTAATACACACCACTCCAAGTTTAGAATTTTGTTAATATAGCATGAGATTATAATTGAGGAAGTCTCAATGTCACACCGCACCTGGTGAGGTAAGACACCACACATAGTGAGGTAAGACACATGAATGGAGTTCTTTTAGCTGCATCAACTAAATTCATCATATAAGACATGCTATGTACAATACCAGGTATCTAATATGCCTTGTACATGACTAACAGATAAAAAAAAGAATCCTAATGCATGTCACCATATCACTATAATGAATATTCTTAGCACTTATGAAGTATTAGAGATATATCCCTAGTTTACATGTACACATTGCTGGATGGTGAGATCACTATAAAGTGGTACATTGATGTGAACTTCAAAACTAATCAAGATGATTCTTACGGTTCACTCGTAATCGAGCTAGATAATATATAGATATAGATATATATATAATATATATATATATATATAGATATATATATATATATATATATATATATATATATATATATATATATATATAAAAAGAAGTTATAATACATCACAATCACATATTAACTTCTAGAAGGCATGTAAAATGCAAATTTAATTGCTTAAAACAACGTAGTAGTACGGGGGCATTGAAAATCTCAAAGTGATATATTATGACAATATTGGTATCCTGATAAATTCACAAAACATAAAGCAAGTAACACATAACAAGCATACGAAGCATTTACACAAATCATGTAATTATTGCATGCAATTCATGAATAGATCCTTCGCCTACAATCTAGCATGTATATATATCCACAACATAAATAACATACATAACAATATGTGTATATTGGGAATCGATTTGCTTTCTGATTCTTGGATGGTTGTACACATCACATCTTCATTGCATAAGCTAAAATCAGCTCATAAAACCACGTTCATGATCCAAAGACAACAATCGGACAAGAACATGACAAAAGACCGAGTTCATATTTCTAACCCAACTAATTTCTTTAAATTCTTTTTGGTAGAAAAGTGTTTTTTTCAAAAAAATTAGTTTAGAAAAATCTCTCAATCATCGGTTTGAATTCAGACACACTATAAAATGTGCTTGAATTCCTCAAACTAAGGTTTTGATGCCAACTTATAACGTCCCAAATATCAAATCAAATTTCTTTCATTTAAAAATCAGGTTAAACATTTAAACCCCAATTCAGAAAACATATTATAAAATCCATTTGTTTCAAAAGCATAATACTAAACATAGTTGAACTACAAAAACCAACGGAAGTCAAATAACAATAAAACTTCAATGCAAATGTACAGTCACGTCGTGCCCTTCCAAAAACAACCTGAAAAAACATTTAACTTAATAACGTAAGCACAAAGATTAGTGAGTTCCCTAGTATGCCACACATTTCGCCATACATACAATACATACAAGAAAAGACTCTCGGCTCTAACCAATCCATCATCATAATATATCAACATACATATCAACCAAAGGCATCCCGCCCTCAACCCTTCATTGGCACCCAGCTGTCCCACAACCATACCAAGGCCATTACAGATATTGATAGGTCGTCTTATGAATACATAATCATATGTAATTAATGAATAAGATAGATAGTCGAACGGATGATCCTACTTGAAAGCAATAAATCAAACAATAACCATGCAATAAGTCCTAGACCAGAGTTCTCAGGCTATCCGATTCAAACTACCTACAATCCTTACGATATTTACTTAGCGATCAATTAATATTACCAATACCCATCCAAACATAACACATAACAATATCATACAATCAGTCAAACACATACATAACGAAGACTACCTAGTCTACTAGCATACTCGTACCCTAACATTACGTATATCCTATCATGCAAAGGATATACAATGTCACACGTAGCATAGTGCGTAAACTCGCCTGAAGCTAGCAGGTCAACCGCAATCGTTACACGCGAGCCCATCGATAAACTAATAACATGGTCCACCTAATAACAACCATAGATTGATACTTAGTCTAAAACTCATAACCTTCAAAGTTTAACCAATAGTCAAACTGGTCAATGTCAACGGTCAAACAGGTCAAACACGTTGCGGTCAGTCCTTAACCGCGTCGTAACCATTAGGTGACAAAACAGTCACGTATCCAACTTAGTGCCCGCGTTGCGACCTATCCTTGGGTGCATCGCGCTTCTCGAGCAATTATTTAGTCGATTCCTAAAGTCCCCCAACATTGCAATTATAAAAGAAATACAAATTATGGATTATGTTAACTGTATATTAAAAACCTTAACCGCGTCGTAACCATTAGGTGACAAAACAGTCACGTATCCAACTTAGTCCCCGCGTTGCGACCTATCCTTGGTCGCATCGCGCTTCTCGGGCAATTATTTAGTCAATCCCTAAAGTCCCCCAACATTGCAATTATAAAAGAAATGCAAATTATGGATTATGTTAACTGTATATTAAAAACCTTAGATGATCCCTTTGTTCCCTCTCCCTTTACGACGCCTTCTTCCCTTATTTCTCTCCTTCTGATCGACAATCAAGAACAAGAAAAGAACACAAGAAGCTTTGCTTTGATTGTTGGTGTCTAACATCGATTCATATCACTTGTGTGGATACTAATAAGTCGTGATCTGTTTGGATCGTCGTCTCCTATATCAAGTTATCCCTACAAATCAAGGTAATGGATTCTAAACATCATATATGTTGTTCTTAATTGGATACAACTTTTAGGAATAAGAAAAAGTTTAATATGTTACCTTTTGTGATGCTTGATTCTTATATTGTTTTTGAATTCTAATAATTCCAAAACAATTATGATTTGAGATATGAATGATTTGATTCGGTTGTGCTGTAACTAAAGGAAAACAATATTGACTAGAAAATGTATTTGTTATATTATATAACCCTTACAATTTGCAAAACATAATGAACATATGTTTATATAATTTTCTTCCCAGTTTTAATGTGTAACTAAAGCTAGCTTGGTGGTAAGAAGTTGTGCCCTTGAACCTGAAGTGAGTGTTCAAATCCATTTAAGAGCAAAAGTTTCATCTTTTTAAGACCGTCAAAGACTAAACCCGCTAAGGTTCTAAAACTAAAAAAACCCGACCCACCTGAGTTCCAAACCCAATTATACCCCTCTCACTTTTCCCTTTTACGAAGGGGGTGTTTGGTTTGTCTTTTTGAGAGGCAAAAGTCCTTTTTGGAAAAGTTACAAAAAGTCAGGTTTTCCTAACTTTTCCAAAAAGTAAGTTTTCCTTATATTCAAAATCCAAAAATAGCTTTTAAAATGTTTTTACCAAACATCTTTTACCTTTTATCTTTTCCAAAAAGGACATTTGCCTCTCAAAAAGACAAGTCAAACACCCTCGAATTTTCTACCAACTTTTTTCCTTTTTTGTTGTTTTCTCCAAACATTTAATTATTTTTATGAATTCAGTTTAGTTATCTATGAGTTTTTGCCCAATGTTAAATTAGAACTTGGTCAAAAAGTTTTGTAGATTACAATTTTTTCCCATATTTGTATATATTTACAACTTATCTCTTTTAGATTTTTTTGTACAACCTTTTACATCCTTTTTTTTTTAGAAATTTTGCCATTTTTTCATCTTTAATTTTTTATGTTTTTTAAAACAGAATATTTTTTATAAATTTTTTTTGCATAACTTTGTACATTTTTTTACAACTTTCCTCCCGGGGAACACGCGAAACAAAGGTATATCCTTTTTAAATAGAAATAGGAAAAAAGATGTTTTGTATCTTATATAACTTTGTGTAATACCCATGTATTACATGAGTTAATTAAAAAAAATTAAATATAAATGTCTAAATATTTAAGAACTTTGCATTTATAAGAAAATAAGAAAAATAATAAATTATTAAAATTAATTTTTTTTTATCTTTTAAATTTAAATAAATAAATAAAATAAGCTAATGAGTTTTAATTTGACAATTTTGAAATAAGAATGTAAGTCTATTAATGAAACTGATATTCATTTATTACTATGTTTATTGTAATTATTACACTAAAATATTATGTGAAATTTATTAAAGTAGAAAAACCCATAAAATGACATGTGGAAAAGAAATTAATTCAAAATAACCATAAAATGACATTTGGCAAATTGAACATGAACAAGGATACTTCTTTGGTTCCGTATCAATATTTTATTCATTTTATGTATATTGTATGTCACAATTTAAACATGATCGATGTATCACCCTAGTTGTGTCTGTTGTGCGTTTGTTGCGTGAGAATTTTGCCTCAACCAAATTAGTCATTATTTCCCATGTTTACATATTAGGTTTTCGTTATAATTTTAATCTACTCAGGTGATGGGTCTTATCTGAACAAGCAACGCGAACACGATTCACATGGATGCATCTAATGGGATTTGTGTGCAAGAGATAGCGATAACAAACCATAGATTTCAAACTACAATTGATCATATGCTTAGTTGGTATGTTATTCACTAAAAAGAACATGGATTTTTTATATTTAAGATTCCCAAGCAGCTTTTTATTAAAACATTTTGGTAGTAGTATTCGACAGTGTTACCACATTTTTAGATTGAAAACACAAGATTACCTGGTGTATGAGGGTGACACCAGATGCAAAAGGTTTGTCAAAATGCAGGGCATGTAAAGCATCCACTCAAGGAACGTATGTGGCGAGTCTTGATGAGTGACATGGCCTTGTGTGAAGATCTAGCAACTTTACAAGACTGGTTAGATAACATCGATTCTCTCATTTCTTGAGCCTTTTTCTGAGCTGTTCTTAATTTGTTCATAATCCTATCCATAGAGGATGATCTCTTCTTTTCCAATTTCATCTGAACCATATAAGCTCAATTAAGAACCAATTCCACTTATCTATATATATTAAACCAATATGCAATAAATGTGAAAAGGGAACCTCTAGTTTTCGTATTGCTGCTTCTGCTTTTGCCTTCTGCAGATTCTCCCATGCAGTAATTTTAGCTTCCTCCCTCTTAACCCTGGTCAATGAATTCCATTATAGTTAGGGTTTATTACACGGGACAAGACCAGACTGGACAAACTTCGAGGGCATTCACGTCTTTTGACAGTGGAGTGAGTCCGGTGCATGTCAAACACAGTACAACTACAACCTGTTGTGTCCTAAAGGGAAAGGAATGACATACTTTGAGAGGCTTTTTTGTCATCTCTGATGCTTCCCAATCTGCTGACCTGGCATCCAGAATGTCTGACCACCTACCTGGAATTCGAGTTTTACTTTTCTTAGACCATCGAGTCAAAGTGACCTTACCATCTACCTGTACATCTCTTATATCTGCTTTGGAAGAGCGAACATGCTGTGAATCTTCCACAGCTAGGATAGAATTTGAGATGGAGCTAGAGTTTCTCTTAGATGAATAGGTACTACTTTCAGGGCTCATTTGGGTTGCCATATCTCTCCTTGAGATATCATTGGTGGAAACATCCATTAAACCACTAGTTTTATCATCTGTATGGTGATTAACATTTTATCACACACAATAAAGAAAATAAGAAACAGGGTAATATATAGAGACCATATGTACTGATTTACCTTGAGTAATCTGCAACAATGACTGATTTGACACTTCAGAACAACCATGTACACTGAATGACCTTTCAAAACCCATCTTGGTATTGAAACAAGGAATTGTTATTGGCATTGGCATTTACTCTGTTTGGAAGTGGTGACTCGTTGACAAAACTTCTGGCATTTTCTCTTTCAAAATTAGGCATTGCAGGTGAATACATGGAGTAGCAGGTAGACCCTGGAGGTCCAAGTGGTCCACTCTTTGACTTAGGTCGCCTTTGTGGCTGTTGAACAGAAGGCTTTAAAGCAACTGGACTTATTATCCACCTCTCTGCGTCTTCCCATTTGGAAGGAAGTGTCCTTCCATTGTTGTAAGGCATCAATGAGAAGCTTGAGTGTATCCGGTTACCCCTTGTATGTGAAGCCACGCGTTCTGAGCTCCAGCCATTCTGAAAACCAGTTCTTGAGGGATAATTAGGCGTTCCTGGGCTTGGAAACATGCCATTTCTATTGGCTGAAATAGAGCTTTTCATCGCCTCTCCTAATCTTGGTGAAGAGCTACTGGTATTCATCGTCTGATTTTCAGATCCAAAGATGCAGGTCTTCTTCTGTCTGGCTTCCTTAGTAGAATTTCAGTTTTTGACTTTCGGTTTTGGCATTCTAATCAAAGAGTATGATGTTAATTTCTAAACTGTTATGGCTTGGACTACTGATTAACTGTTATTGTTGGTAATAATGGCAGCTGAAAGTAATAAAATCCAACTGGTACCTTTAGGGGTATGAGAGAAGGAGCTTCTTGCTGAATATAGAGACTGATTTTCTCCATCAGTTTCTGCATCAATGTATTCTTTTATAGCTGCGTATAATTGGAAAAGGAAAAGTGACCTATAAATTTCGAATTTATTTACAGCGAAAAGATTTTTAGCCTCAATTTATCTTTTTATTATTAAGGAATTAGGAAGGTTACATCATATGCATACCTTGTGCTTTTTCCACCCTTTTTCCTATCAGGTAGGGACCTCCATTGTCATGTACTTTGGAATTCTTGTTTGGATCTGGATCTGAACTCCTCGCTGAGGAAGAACCACGGAAACCTCCAGGCTGTATCAAAAATTAAATTACGTTTTAAACCAAACAGTTTGGAGAAGACGAATTCGTAATTAAATCATGCCTAGGTTTTGCTGATAGCAAATCATTTTCATAAGACTACTAAAATTCTTCACTGAACGTCAATCAAATCAAGCCAATTCTCGCATGCGCATTTGGATTAAAATACAGAAAACTGATAAAGTGCAACTACATAGAAACTTCCTGAGAATTACGAGTTCATAAGATGATACATAAGTAACTTACCAAAGACATATCGGAGACGAACGATTCGTGATCAAGGACATCGGAGGTAGATGAACAACGCTCAATGCTAGCATAAGCGGAAGCCGAAGAAGAGAAGAGACTGAGGCTCGACTCGACGGAGTGTATAACAGAGTCAGGACTAACACCTCTACCACCGCCGCCGCCGCCGCCGTCGTAACTTGATCGTAACTGCCTATTATGTTGATCAAGAATTGCGAACTCCGGCATTGTCGAATATCAATTAGTCGTTGCTTCAGTTCTCAATTGTTGTTAATCAGTCGACGAATATTAAATTATATGTGACTCAGAGAATCTCAATCTCCTATGTGAGATGACACAGAGATTTAGGTCTGTATCATTGAGTTTTTGGATTGCATTATCAAATAGAGTGATAGTGGAAGAGAAATGGTGACACGAAGATCGGTGGAGAGAGGAACGAGACAATTACGCCCATGGTGATGCTGGTGTTTAACTACAACAGATTGACAGACAATATCTGATAAAAATTTTATTTTTATATTGCGTTTATATTTTCTAGTTTGACCCGGAGTTTGACTATAAAGTTTTGATAATGATAACATTTTGACTGTTTTACTTTTACCGCCTATTTTTAGTATTTGTTGTTATATATGTGCAAAATAATTTAAGACGATTATAAAAACTTTGTTGATGTTGTGTGTGCCCTCATCTCTGTTAACTTTTTTGGTTGAGAAAATGATATTTCACAAATGATAGCTTTAGTTACTCTACTTTATCGAAGGCTTTGAAAGCTTTGGCTCCTCCACTTTAATGAAGGTTTTGGAAAATACTTTCATAGCATAGAGACCCCCATATCACCCCATAGCTTTAAATACAAGTTTTAATGCACTTGGTACATCAATAAATTAGTTTTAAATACAAGTTATAAATTAGTTTTTTTTTTTTAAACCGCAAATATACTAAACTACTCCTAAATTATTTCATTTATGTCAACTACGAGACTTGAACAAAGAGAGAAGACAACACGGAATATCTGTGTTAAAAACCCTTTGGTTTATAAATTAGTTAAAATTAGAAATATTCATGTCGTTGCTAAAACATGAATGATGATTTTTTTTTTGTTTTTTTTTACTTGCATTTTTCTTTGAGCAAAGTCTAAAAAAATTTCAACATACAGAAATAGACGTAATTTGGTTATGGATTTGGTTCCTAAGAGGCTAAGACCAACACCGTTAGTTTTCATGGTTAAACTATTGTTAATTAACGTTTTCCCCTATTTTATTTATTTTATTCTCTTTTTCATATTTTGCAAATATAAAAATATACCCACTGAACAATACACATCCTCATGCTTCCCCTTTGTATTTGTATTTGCCTCTTGAAGTATTCACCAAGCTGGTGATGCGGTGTCTATGTGGAGAAGACTAGTCGTGCACACCATCACGATGGTCGCATGGCGGTCCGTATCCAATGCAATGACAAATGGCAAATCTCTCTCTCTCTCTCTCTCTCTCTCTCTCTCTCTCTCTCTCTCTCTCTCTCTCTCTCTCTCTCTCTCTCTCTCTCTCTCTCTCTCTCTCTCTCTCTCTCTCTGTGTGTGTCCTACAATGCTTTCATTTTCTCTTTTTTCGGATGGCATGAAGACCACACCCTCAAGGGTGTGGTGTGAACTTGATGGTAATCCAGAAGGAAACCGATGGTCTCATGTCCTTGACGTGGATAGTACTTCGGATAGCCTTAGGGATGCTTCCTCTTCCACCTCCCTAAGATCGATATGAAATTAAGAATACATTCGGCCACCAAAATACAAATCAAAGAAACGACGCTCAATTTAATTTTTTCCCAAAAAAAGAAAACCATCATTTTCATATATATATATATATATATATATATATATATATATATATATATATATATATATATATATATATATAATTCAGATTCCACTCGATCTCTTCCTCTATATAGTTACGACATTTCATTTCATTTTATTTTACGGGCAAACCATTCTCCTTGATATCCTATCTATCTCTCCTTCTCTCTCTTCAATGCTTCACTATTGTCTGTTGATCCAATTACATTTCGCTTTTCTCAAATTCAGAAACTGTATTTGTATAAGATTATAAAATTTTCTTAATTTTGATCTTAGTTGGTCGAACAAGATTTCAACACCATGAGTTTGAGAAAGTAAAGTGGTGTTATACGTTGTTAAAATTTATGAAGAAGATTGTATTTTTAATTCCTCATCAAAGAAAAAAATGGAAGGATTGTGTCTCTGTCAAAAGGTGGAGTGAGGTGGGGGACAACAAACATGGAAGATGAGAGGTTAAAATTGGGGGTCGATATGGTTCATCGGAGAAGATGGTGGTCGTCAGAGTGAGAGTGACATTTCTTATTTATGTTAATTCAATATCAGTGAAAAAAATAATAATAATAAGTGTTGACTTTTGTTATATAGGAATATTAAGAGTTGATACCTTGAACGATGGATTATCGTCAAAATTTGTGATTGAGTTACCGAAATCTACTGTGGTGGGAAGGGGTGTGATGGTGATGGCTTACGGTGAGGAAGGGGAGAATTTTGTTTCTCCTTTAATAACAATATCTAATATGATATTATCTACATAATATATACTTTATTGTTGTTATTGTTCTTAAGGTCACTTCATGGTAGATTGTTTTTTTATATATATATTAGATCATAATGTAAATTTAGCTATTTTACATTAGAAGAACCAAGTTGTTACGTTTGCATTTTGCCTAAAATCTAACCTGAATGAAAAACTCTCTCTTTCAAGTCTAATATTGTAACTAAAACTCGGTTATCAAATATGTAATTGATTCAATGTCAAACGAACCAAAGATGAGTGAAGCAAAAATCAATGGTACCAATATCAAACAGAAAGAAAGATGCGAGACACAAAAGTAATAATGGAATTGAATGATTAGCGAAGACTGTTGTCAAACTTAATTGTTAGATCTATCGATGTGATTCTTGGCTATCATAAGGCGTGATTAGTGAAGACTGTTGTCAAACTTAATCGGTGCATCGTCTTCCTATAACAACCAAAAATTTTATGTACTTAAAATGATTGTATTTGTATTTAGTAGCCCAAAAAATACAGTGGAAATTTTATTGAAACAGTGATGTGATTCAAAGGTATTTTGGTCTTATGCTCAACATATGGAAATTCAATTAATAAAACTTTTTATGAATCATTATGAATTTAAAAGTCTATTTGTTTAATTAAATACACGTCTAAGACCCAATATATGCACTTTGATGAAAAACAGTGTACAAAAGACGCATTCTGTGCAGTTTGATGGAAATAATGCACAAGAGACCCATTGTGTCACTTTGATGGAAATTGTGCACAAAGGGACCCCTTTGTGTCTTTGGTGAATTAATAAACAAGAGACTCATTATATGAACTACAATGAAAGTAATGCACAAAAGCCCCCTTTTATGATTGTAATGAAAATAGTACACAAAATGCCTAAATGTGATGAATGAAAGATATTGTTAAAACCAAAAATTATAGCTTACATGATAAGCTATTTGTAGGGAACAAGTTTAGAAGAAATGAAATTATAACAAGGAAGAGAATCTTAAGTATTCAAATGGTTGAAAAAATGATATCAATTACCGATTCAAGAATATTGCCCTCCTTTTTAAATGGATATGGCGATTCAAGAATAAAGACACATATTTATGGAGTCAAGTTATCAACAACATACACAATCTCAAGAGAAAATCGGTAACGAAGCTTGCTAAAATTTGTGTCGCCTCGGTACTTGGGGGAATATTGTCAAAATCATCAAGGACCTAGAACACCTTGGTATCCAATTTAATCAGATTCTGAATTGCCAGGTTGGAAGTGGGAACCAAACCCTTTTTTGGCTCAAAGATTGGTGTGGCGGAGGTTCCTTTGGTTCAAGATTTCCTCATCTTCGTAAACTGGACACCAAAAATTCATGCCTTATTTCAGATAGAATGTCAACCTCAGTCCCCACTTAGAGCTGGAAAAGAATACCTCGAAGACCGCCTGAATCGTTGGAACTTGATCAACTAAACAATCTTACCTCCACCGACAACCTTACTGATGCAAATGATGTCTGGAACTCCAAACTTAATGTCAATGGTGATTTCTATGTGAGCAACCTCCGGTACATTATTGACTCCAACCTCACGTGTAGAATTCCAGACTCTTGGATTAATCTTGTTCCCCTCAAAGTCTTGTGCTTTATATGGAGAGCGAGTCTCGATCGCATCCCTACCGCTAACACTCTTATTCATCGTGGTGTTAATATCCCTTCGACATCCTGTTATCTTTGCTCCATTGGCTTCGATTCCATTGATCACATCATGGCAAGTTGCTCGTTTACTCGCGAGGTCCTATTCTGGGTTTTTAAATGGTGAGACATCCCTCTTCCGGGTTTCAACACTACTAAAGAAGTCATCGACTACGTGGCTAATTGGGGTCGCTGCCCTAAGAAGAGAACCATTTTTGTGGCGATTGTGTACGATCTTTTATGGAGCGTGTGGAAAGTGAGGATGACAAACTTTTTAGCAACGTGCAATGCTCCCCTTCCAAAACGGCGGATACCATCATCTCTATAGTTTTCAATTGGGTCAAGAATAGTGGTAATTTTGGTATTTGTAATTGGTCAGATTAGTTATGTTGTCCGTTTAAGACTCTGTAATTTTGTTTGTTTTGTTTTCTCCTGCCTTTTTTCTCTTAGGCAGGGGGTTCGTTTTTTATAAAAATCGTCGTTTAAAAAAAGTATTAAACCGAACTAACATTATCAGTACCAGGTATGATACCGGTTTTCGGTACTAGCATCAGTATCGATGGTACCAAATCCTGAATTTTATGATTTTAGAGTAGCGAGTACTATCCCATATTAACATAAATGGTACCGATTCGATACCAATTTGAGTCAGAAATTTCGGTAGTCTTGCTCACCCCTTAGTAACATGTAAAGGGATATGAAAGTGTTTAATAACTCGATAAACACACTCACCCCTAACATGAAGATATCCCAATAACTAAAATACATATTTTCCAATTGGATCATCTATAACAACTGCCATCCAGAATTAAGGTTGGCCGAGGGCACAAGGAAAGAGGGATACCCCTCGCAGTTGGGGTTCCAAATATGTAAAATAGTTGTTTGTCCTTGACTGATTTGTGAAGATATATTCATTGTTTTGTAAGGATTCTATAAACATGGGTGTTAATAAAAGGGAACGAAAAAAGATTTGATCGTATGAAGGGATAGTCAGCTTGTAATTTAATAAGGGTTAATACACAGTCGTGACACAAATAATCCATGTCATATAAGCAAAATCACGCTTTCCACCAAACATTCATTTAAAAAATCAAATACAAGTTTGATCATTTCAAATGCACAAAAAATATTAAAAAACCAAATAAAATAAACTTTTTGTTGGCCAACAATCCGGTCGACCAAAAAAACAACATATGTTTTGGCGAAACTAT